ACCCTACCCTGAATCTCTCCCATGGCCCCACTCTCAAGTTGATAGCCTCTTTTTCTCGTATGATATTTGTTACACATGCATGCATATGCACAAATGTATATGTACATATATGTATATATATACACACAAATATATATGCATACACAAACAGAATCTGCTGAGTCCACTTTAGTTGTTTGTGTGCATATGATTTCATGACTGACTATGCTGCATTGGAAAACCAAGTAACAGATTAAAACTTTTCTCCCAGACTCATGTCGAACCAGGAGATTGCTTCTTGTCTTCATTGCATCATGTCAGATCCTGATACTTTGTTCTTTTCTTTCTTTCCTATCAGTATTAGAGGTTTGCTGGAATTCCTAAACAATGCAAAAGCAAAAAAACAAAAAACCCACATTTTAAGGCAGTGTCTTTCTAAACAACCTAGGCTGTCCTAGAACTCACTTTGTAGACCAGGCTGGACTCAAATTTACAGAGATCTGCTTGTGTCTGCTTCCCAAGTGCATGCACCACCACCATCCTGCTACAAACCTTGATAGGGTCAACTAATGTACAAAGTCCAGGATGGCACATTTTTTGACTAGTTCTGAGTATCAAACTGGTGAGTGTACACCTTTGATTCTAGAACTCAAGACAATGAGGCAGGAGGAGCAGGCTAGCCTGACCTACTCAGTAAGAGCTTGAATAAAAAATCAAAAGCAACAAAGATAAATAAACAAATAAAACAGAGATCCATTGTTATTTTGGGATCATGTACTAACGATCAACTACTAGAATAGAATTCAGTTTCTACACCAGATTACACCACTCAAAAATGTAGCTACATTTACTATCATTAATTATTATCAATACAGCTACTTAATAGCTTGAATTTAATAGCTCCTTGTCTTCAAAATTATAAAGATTTTATCAGATGTTGAATTAATTTTGTCATATTTAGCTTAAACAAATGAGAACTCTTGTTTTTTAAAGGATTTTTTAAAAGAATTTTTAAAAGATTTTTTAAAGAATTACCCAAAATAATGGAAAGGAGGTTTAAAAGTAGATTAAAAGGAAACAAATGGTAGTTAAATTTTAATAGATGAGACCAATATATCTCTTCACTTATTTTAGAATAACTACCATGTACTGTATTTTTTATAAGCAGCAATTCCTTGGAGTGAAGATTTTCAATATAAAATGTATATTGGTACAAGCAATATATGGAAATTGAATGCTTTATGGAACATACTATCATTTTTATAAAGGAAAAATACAAATACCCATATAAATACATTTTCAGAACACATTCTATGTTGTTATTGCAAGTCCACAAATATCCTCTGTAACAGCACTAATTAATCCTCACTGAACATCTGTGCTAGCGTCTTGTAGTGTTTTATGTATCTATTCAATAGTCCAACATTTATGTATTCTAACCACTTTATACAAAGCAGTCATAGGTAATAGTAACAAAAGATTTATCTTTTATTTATTTTCTTGATTTTAAGCAGCTCTTTAATATATGAACATATAAAAAACCAAATGAAATAGCCTTTAAATAACAAAGTGTGAGGTGAGGTTATCTTGTGACAGACTACCAATTTTAATGGCACACAAAGCATGTTGAAGCCTGGAAAGGGAGAATTTGAACTCAAACCTGGCTAAAAATAATCAACATTTCATTAGCAATTGTGTAAGCTGGGACTGATTGAAGCCCTCCACAGTCATTTACATGTTCTTTATTTCCTTGTAATAACAATGATCTTCAGAACAAATGGTGCGGATGCTTTATTTTTTCCTGAAGACTCTGCTACATAGATTAAACATTTTCTAAGTAGCTGCTGCTGATTTGGACAACAAAGAGATCAGCAGTAAAGATCAATATCAAGGAGGTCATAAAATAGTGTAATTATTCTTCAGCATTGGGAGGAGAGAGGCAAATGAAGAGAAAGCCTTCCAGGCCCCCTCTTTTGTCCTCACATATTTCTTTCTGTCTATGGAGCCCCACCAGGAAAGGAGTCTCTCGGGGTGCTTTTACAACAGGGATATGGGTGGTGACTGGCCATCCTCCCTTTAGATAGTTAAACAGATGTTTGGGCTTTTCCTTGTCATGGTCATCTGTTTGGGAGGAGGACTCGATCATCCCTGGGTATCCATGGAGATTAGTTCTAGGAACACCTCATACAGTGAGTGCTCTTGTGCTTTATTAAATAACCTACCCTTCTCCTCCTGAACACTCTAATTCATCTTTAGATTACCCTAACACCAAATACAATGTTAACAGAGTTTATTACTGTGCTGTTTATGTTCTCAGACATGCACAGTATAAAAGAGATTCCCCTATGTGGATATCTTAGCTAGAGTTTCTATTGTTGTGAGAAAACGCCATGACAAAAAGCAACTTGAGGAGGAAAGGGTCTTTTTTCATCTTTAGTTCATAGTCCATAATTCAGGAGCCAGACCAGGAACTTAGAGCAGGGACCTGAAGGCAGGAGGTGATGCAGCGACTAAAGAGAGATGTTGTTTACTGACTTGCTCCCAATGGCTTGCTCAGCCTGCTTTCTCATAGAACCCAGGACCACCAGCCCAATGGTGGCAACAGCTAAGTGAACTGGGCCCTCCCACATCAATTATCAATCAAGAAAATGCACCACAGGCTTTTCCACAGGCCAATCCTGTGGGAGTATTATCTCAATTGAGGTCTCCTCTTCCAAATGACTCTTGTGTGAAGTTGACATACAACTAGCTAGAACATTGGATATTTTCAATGCAGGGTTAGTAGACTCACTATAGGTATCCATGGGTGCACGAAAGAGGACTCACACTGCTAAGGAGTTGTGTTTTGACTGGCTGTAATCCCCTAAAAATGTCACAGCACACACAATCCTTCACTTGAATAAATGCAGCAAACCTCTCTAGTCCCAACATTCAGTTTTCAACCATCCAAGGTCAGCAAATATTTATTGCATCTGGAACCCAGCACTGAATAGGTGGGTTCATCTAATATGTAGAATATAATGGTCTGAAATTTCAATAAAAGCCTCTGATTAATAGTTACTATGATTTTTATGAGAAAGTAACTAAAACTCAATACTTAAAACTCAGAAAATTTAACATGAGTTTAAGTAAATGTCTACCTAGTTTATTGGGTGGTACATAGCACATGTCAGTAGAGAAGGGAAAAGTTGGTTACCTTCCCCTTCCCAAGTTATCACCACTCTCACCTTTCTGAGCAAATAAAAAGATAACTGTACTGTATGTATTCTTTTTGAGCAAATGCTTAACAGAGAAAACACTCCTTTGGAATATATTACTAATAAGCACAAATCAGAAAAGAGCTGATGGAATTTCTACTGGAATGTATAAAGCGGTAAAAATAACAAATGTTGAGGCAAATTTCATACTTTAAATACTTAGTGAAAAAAAACAGTAGCATGAATATTTCATGTAGTAAAGTATTTTCAGTTTTTCCTTATAAAATTAACATATATTAAAATGGAGAAATCATAAAATATGGAGAAAAAGGAGCAGATTTTTTTTTGTAAAAAATGATAGAATAATTCTTAATACTCATAAATTCCAAAACAAAATAATGGTGATGTTTCTGGCATATTTCCTTTCAACTTTTGGTCTATGCATCTATTTCAACTGGTTATATTTAAGTATAACATGTATAGTAACTCCATTATATTCTATCCTACCAGAAGCATTTCTTTACATTGACAAACCCTTTTAAAATATTTTCAATGACCACATAACACTTGAAAATAAATATCTATTATATACTATTTTTCATTGAAATCCTTTCTTCTGTGTTGGATAGAACTGTTTCTCTTTGTGGGGGTGGTGGTGGGGAGCTATTGTAAGTAGTCCCATGGTGAATAAGTTATGCAAATTTCTGCTCTTGTTTCTGATGACTTCTTTGAGTACATCCCAAGAAGAAGAGTGAGGTCAAGAGAAAGAATACTTTCAGGTCATTTGGTTTAAATCACAAATCCCAATGGTTTTTACAGAGGCACACGTGGAGAGGAAATGTGTGTGTGTGTGTGTGTGTGTGTGTGTGTGTGTGTAAATTTAACTTCAGAGTTTTTAAACTGATGTTTAGTATATTCTAGAGAACAGAGTTTCAACACTTAAACTAATCTATGTTTAGGGTAGGGAAGCCACATAAAAGCAAATTAAAGAAAAAATTAACAAAAAAAATTCAGACAAAAACACACATTTAGTTGACTATCCCAACTAAATATCACATATTAACAAACAAAATCCCCAGTACTAGGGATGGGTTATCTCTTTTTGAGTTGTCCAGTGTGGTTCCACAGATACACAAACAGTGTAGGCTACTGTCAATGTTCTTGGTTACCCTCAAGAACTTGAACCTATTGCTGAAGACACCACATTCTTGAGTCAAAGAATGTGGTAAAAAACAAGATGGTATTCACCTGGAAGCTTCACTCCTAGTGCCTAGATTTCATAGTGTTGGAGGGTGCTATGCACACTACTGAAGGAGAAAAGTAATTAACAGTCTCACTCAGCTATGAAAATGCAAGCTACAGTAATTGCTAGTCTGACAACATAATGCCCACTGGTGAAATAATGGTAGAAATATGGAAGAAACCAACCACTTTCTTGTTGACTTTGACCGGGTGCATGAGATGGAATCCATTCTTGGCACTATTAGCAGGCCCAAGTACCTGTGGCTAGACACGCCATAGTTCCTAAACACTTTTATTCTGCTCAATTGATTAGTACTAAAAGGATTACTAGTGATCTATGGCTATATCCATAGATCAATATAATTCTTAACCTTCTTTAGAAATGCTTCTTCTTATAGTGCATGGCAACTATGGTGGTTTGAAAGAAAATGGTCCCCAAAGGGAGTGGCACTAATGGGAGGTGTGGTCTTGCTGTAGAAGGTGTGGCCTTGATGGAGGAAGTGTTTAACTGTGGGGACAAACTTTGAGGTCTCCTGTGTTCACGATGCCACCCAGTATCTATGACAGTTTACTTCCTATTGCCTTCAAATCAAGATATGGGACTCTCAGCTCCTTCTCCAGCATCATATCTGCTTGCACACCATCATGTTGCTCTATGATAATGGACTGAACCTCTAAAATGTAGACTAATCCAATTAAATGTTTTTTCTCTATAAGGATTGCTGTGGCCATGGTGTCTCTTCACAGCAACAGAAACTCTAACTAAGACAACAACTAACACAGAGTCCTTCAACTGATTAATGTACAAGGTGTAAGAGATTGTGGAGTGCTTGGTCATAGCTGGGACATATATATTACACCTTCCAAAGCTCTGCAATCTCACGAGGGCAGAAATATTGTTAGATCCAGAGGTGGTACATAAAAAGTTCAAGGAAACAGTAGCTACACATACAATTTCACAATGATTGTCACAGTATGCACGAGGTTTGAGCAAGCTCAAGCCACATAAAACTCTATCAGAGATGGGGTTAGGTAAGCATGGAATCCTACTACTAGCTGAGGAGATATTAGCATTTGATCGCATTTGGACTGTTAGTTTTCTTTAATGATGTAAGCCCTGGTAGATTGACCACATGCTAGGGTAGACTCTGCTCCCAAGACTAGTTGAACACCACAAACTGAATTCAATGAAAAGAAAAATGGAGACTAAACTAAAAGTTGGGTGGGTGGTGAGATGAGGATAGATATGGGAGAAGTTAGGGAAGGGGTGAATATGATCAAAATATGTTGTATTAAAGTTTCAAAGAGTTAATAAATGTGCTATTAAACATATTTTTCAGACAAGGTCTTCTATGTATCCCAGGCTGACCTCAGACACATGATCCCCTAGCCTCAGGCTCTTGAATGTTGGTATTACAGGAGTACATGATCATGCCCAGTTTGTAAATATCACTTTAGATCAGCAAGTGCTAATAAGAATAAAAACACCCTAAGGACAAGGTCAAGAAGCTTTGAAATGGTTTCTTCATAGGTAGTCATGAAGATCTATCCACTCTCTGTCTGCCTTATTCTCCACTACCTGAGCCTAATCACTTCCAAATGGACCCTGGGCATATCAGGCAATCTTTCCCTTAAATACAAGCGTCATATATATTATTGTAGAATATTTGCAAGATGAAAAATAGTAGGCAGAAGAGGAAAAGAAATCATTAACCAAAGGTCATTATCACCTTTTCACTGTACTTTTTTCTTCTTACTTTTTAAGTATTTAACTATCTTTTATATTATGCATTTATACTGTAGTGTGAAACATGAGTTTTCAATGTTACTAAAGTTTTTCACAGTTATTTTTTTAATGAGTGAATATCTGTCTTAGTTGCTTTTCTTTTTTATTAAAATATTTTATTTATTTATTATACAATCTTCTGCATGCTGGCAGAGGACACCAGATCTCATTCAAGGTGGTAGTGAGCCACCATGTGGTTTCTGCGAATTGAACTCAGGTCCTCTGGAAGAACAGTCAGTGCTCTTAACCGCTGAGCCATCTCTCCAGCTCCCTTAGTTGCTTTTCTTATTGCTATGACAAAATGCCTGCCAAACCAACTGAAAGAAAGACAAATTTCTTTTGACCCAGAGTTTGAGTGTGTATTCCATTGTGATGGAGAATGCGTGATGGTGGAGAGTAAGACAGCTGGTCACATTGCAATCACACTCAGGAAGCAGAGACCGACAAGTTCTCAAGCTTGGGTAGGTCCCTCCCTTTATTTGTTCCAGGACCCCAGTTATGGTATAGTGTCACACACACCGAAAGGGTAACTTCTCCTTCATTAAACATTTCTGGAAGCCCCTCCACAAACACACACAGAAATGTGTTTCCATTGTGATTTTAATTCAGGAAAGTGAAGTAAAAATTAACTATTACAATATCTGAGTGTCATATATTACGTAAGAATATTTAAATAGCTTAATGTGGGACATTGATTTCCTAATACTATAATATTTATATTGTAAATAAAGCTGTATCCCAATGCATAAAGCTATTCCACACCTCATTTTCTCAGTTTAGATTTCTAGAAGCAGAGATTCTATGTCAAAAGATGTGTAAAAGACAAGACTATTATTTACCTATCATGTATCTATCTGTCCATCTATCATTCATATATATATTTGTGTGGGATAAATGTGCATCCGTTTCTTTATGTGTGAAGAAATGCATGTAGCTGTATGTGCATATGTCTATGGGTGTCTAGAGGTCAGAGATTAATATCAAGTGTCTTCAATCTCTTTCCACACTATTTCTCTTTTAATTTTTGAGATTACAGTATAATTACATCATCTCTCCCTTACCTTCCTTCCCCCTTAACCCTTTCAAACTGATGCCTTCTTTTTAAATAATTGTTGTTACATGCATATATGTATATACATAGGTAATTTTAGATATAACCTGCTCAGTCTGTATAATGTTACTAGTATGTACATGTTCATGTTGCTGCGCATTTGGAATTGGATAACCAACTGGTATTCTCTTCCCTGGAGAAGACTATTTCTCCACTCTCAGAACCTCTTACTGCCTATAGTTCTTTGTATAGGATTGAGGCCTCATGGGCTTCCCCTTGTCCGCTTTAGCATGTCTTTTTGTGTTGGCCTTGTTCAACTTAAGCTTAGGTTGTCATGCTGATGAGCTTTTCTGGGTGTAGCTTTTAACATTACTAAAAGACACAATCTCACAACAAAATCTCCACCCTCTCTGAATCTTTCAATCTTTCTGCTTCCTCTTTCTCAGTGTTCCCTGAACCTTAGGTGTGAGAGCATTTTGTGGATGTACCCTTTGGGACTGGGCTCCACAACTCCACATTTGATTGGTTGTGGTTTTCTGTAATGGTCTCTACTTGCTGCATCAAGAATTTTTCTTGAGAGGTGAGAACTACATTTACTTTTTGAGCCAGAGTCTCTCACAGAGCCCCAAGCTTGCCAACTCAGCTAGGCTTGGTGACTAGTGACATCCAGAGAGCATCACCTTTTCGCACAAAGATCACAAACACATGTGATTACACCCACATGCCAACACACCAAGCTTTTTACATGAGTATTGGGTATCCTTAATTTAGTCCTCATACTGGAGCAGCAAGTACTATACCTACTGAGCCACCCCCCACTGTATCCCTGTGAAATATGTACGTGTCTTTGTCTCTAATTTATGGATGAAGAATGCCAGAAAAGAAAATAAATTAACTATTTGCACTAAGCCACACAAACAAAAGGTAAGAATAAGAAACAAATTTCTAAACAGTTTTCCATAGGTTGTTTAACACCAGATTCTTTTTATATACTTACAAACAGGCTCTAAGGACAAGGGGCAGCTTATGCCATGTGGTCAGTTTGTAGTGAAATTCAAAGTGGATCTTTCTAGTCAGTGAGAGCAGATTTGTTGCACAACTGGTTTAACCATGAAGCAAAAGAGGAAACAGCAGTTAAACCACACATATTTCACAAACATACACCAAGGATGGAAATAATCAGCTATGCATGAACAAGGTTAAGATTATCTTATAAGAAACTGTACACAAGCACACACAGTTGAACGTATATTGTAAATTTAGAGAAGTTATGATTCTTGGAGAATAGCAAAGATCACCAAAAGGTGGGTGAATAGCACAAACAGACAATGTATAAAACACTAAAATAAGTAAAAATGGAAGATAAACTGTTTAATCTTATCATAAACCATTGGAATGCAAAGAATGTGACTAGTGGGGAGATTTTACTTATTAAGCTGGCAAATATTTAAATAAAATAATTGTTTTCATACATGCCTGTTGAATGTATAAACTGGAGCAGCCTTTATTCAAGCCACTCTATAGCAAGACACTTAAATATATTTTTAACCCAGTGATTGCACTTCCTATAACTTATACTGGAGTATGCTATTCAAAGATTTGAAAGAAATTGCCTGGCTGTTCATCATAATATTATTTGTAAAATTGTGAAAATAGAAGTTAACTAAACGATGGAATGTTATTAAGAACTGCAATATGCTTTAAGTGGATCATGACTGCCATAGGAAAATTACTGTGATTTAGTTGAAAAAAAAAACCCACCAGCAATAGTATTTTAAACATAATTAGCTATCTATCAGAAACATTAACCATGATTATCTCTAAGTGAAATTATTTGATAATTTTAAACATTTTTAATAACTAGAGCAATATGATTTACTAATTGAGAAACTAAGAAAATAAGAGAGAAAATTTTTTATTATAATTTCCTTTTCCTACTCATAAAACATAATATATCCAGTGGTATTTGTCACAAATTGTACTAGGAGATGCTTGTTAGAAATTTATTCAAGGATTCTAAGAGTAATGTCCAATGATGGAGCTTGAATGCTCTTACCTATTCCCATCTCAAAGTGATATACATGGGTAGGAAATGGGTAGGAACCACCTCCCTGATCAAGAAAAGTCAATGTTCTATTTAAATAATTGAAACCGTGCTGGTCCATCTTCCCACTCATCTATTACATCCTAGTCCCCAGGAACCAGCAGACCTAAAAGGCCAAGAGTCCACAGTAGAAGCTCCATTGTTTTGCAGAAAGATTTAGAAAACCCAGAGCCTCTCTCCAGCCAGTTAGTTTATCACTGTTGGTGATAATGCCTTAAGCTATAGCTTCAAAAGGTCAAAGATAGGTAAGTGGGAGGACATCTCAGCAAAACAGAATAGAGCACTGACTTTCCAAACTCTACCATGGGCTCATATACCTTTGTTAAATAATGGAAACCATTTTACCATTTGATATTTTATTTCTCTTCTTAGGGCAAGCTCCTGGCTTGAGAACCCACACCCCCTCTCAAGTAAATCTTCCTTGGAGTGTTTCTAGGAATCCCATGACCTGTGCTCACTTCACTGACCCTGTCTCCAAAGCCCACCACTCTCTCTGAACCTTATGAGTTTCCTTGCTATGATGCATCACATCACTTTCTCAAACCCAGTTCTTTCTATATCCAAGTATTGAAAATGTACCTTCCTGAGTTCGAGGCCAGGCTGGACCGACAGCCTCCAAAACAATACAGAGAAACCCTGTCTCGAAAAACCAAAAAAAAAAAAAAAAAAAAAGAAAGAAAATGTACCTTCCTAAGTGGGTCTCCCCAACACCTGTCTCATATAAACTACTGTCTCAAGACCTGAGCACTTAGCTTAGTGCAAGAGCCTAGCATGCAGAAGGTCCCAGGGTC